GTTCATAATTTTATTTTGTTATATCTCCGGCACGAGATTCAAAATTCCGTTTAATAAAAAGATCGTCGGAAAAAAATAATCAGGATACATCATGCCACAATTTTGTGCACTAATCATAGTAAATCTTGAGTTATTTATGATTTTTCGGTTTTCTCAATGTTTTTCGAATTTTTTAAGTTACACATGGCTTGTGATTTTATTGGCTACAATTAACAATGATCGACATAACCTATCACAGATTTCAGACGTGCAAATGCTTCAAATCTTTTATAAATCATTTTAAATCACAAAATTTGATTTAAATCATGATTTTTGCCAACTCTACAATGAACATGCCGAAATCAATTACCTATCGAATCAGCAGAATAATCATTCGGTTAATTTTTTACAAGGTGTCTCGGGAATAACGATAACAACTGTAAGCGAAAATTGTCCCTAGGCTAATTTTATCGTTGTGCGGCTTATTTCTTTTAAAATTACTATTTTTGGAATGAAAAGGTTAAAAAATTAATTACGGCTAGAAATTAGGAAACAATTATGTAATTCGGGCCAAAAGTTTGCGGATCCACGACCGTTAGTCAATCGAAATCGAGGATTTGCCGGGACAATTTTGTTGACAGATCGACTGTAACTCTATAAAAAGAAATTCATTGCAAAATTTTTAGTACAAGACAAGTATCGTTATAATTATAAACCTGATCCTAATGTATCGTTTTATGACTTTAAAAAAAATGTCAATCAGTGAAAGTCTCTGGGATAGTTCGTATCGAATAGTCCTGACCCTAAACATAAGAAAAAAAATCATTTTACCAGTTGACTATGTGATGTATAAATTCCCTCTTTATGAAATTATGTATAAATACTGTATCTGAAAATTTAACTCTTCATAAAAACAATTTTAACTATCAAATTTCATTACAAAACATTATCCAACCATAATTGATTATATAATCTTAGAATTTGGCGTTCTTAAAAAAATTATTGAATGTTTTTTGCTACCCCATACTGTAAATTATAGATTTAATCTTTTTCTCATCCGATAAGCATTGAATGTATAAGAAGAAGTCATCATCCGGTCTTGAATGTGGAATCAATAAGCTGTTTGGTATATTTGGCTCTTGTATATCATTATTGTTGTAATTGTCCTGACTGGTCTCATCGAACTGTAACGATCGTTGATATTTAAGAAGTTCATGAATTGTTATGCTTCTACCTTCCTCTATTTCAATATTGTTCGAAAGTGTTTTACAATTCATTTCAACTTCTTTGCGAAGAACGTGGTCAATATCAACAGCCGAAAAAAAACCAACGGACTGTATTACAAACACGTGAAATCATTATTTCTACGAAATTGGATAAAAAATTCGTAATATAGTCAACCTCTCTAAATGCATGACTTACTCTATCCTAACTATAAGTGCAGTCAAACCCCGAATAGTTTTAATCAAGATACTAAATAATGTGGCTAATATGAAAATAATCGCCATTTGATCGATTATAAGTTTTTTTTGACCAATCAAATTCCAAGAAAGTGAATAACAATAAATTCTAATCAATGTAACATAGTTATGGTTATAGATGCAGGCATTCGGAAGGTCAAATATAGCTGCTTTAAGTAATACAAAATCTGTAATGAAGTCTCAATTAATTATGACTTATATAAAAACGAAATTTTAACACAATTTTTTTGTCATAATTAAGGCCACTCCAAATTAATTCTTTACCATAACATTAAATAGTTTAAAGAAAAATATAAAAATACACAAATTAAAAAAATACAGCAATTCTATTGGCTGTAAAAAATATAAATTATATAAAAAGCTAATACTGCGATTTGATTGGTTAATGTGATATGTATTTTTTTAAAAATAGAAAAAAGAATTATGTTAAATAAAGAATTAAATTGGTCCGGCCTAAGTGACAATAACATGCCTGCATATATAATCTAAGTATAAAAAGATTTTAAATTCCTCTTTATAAAATACTTACGTTACTTTGTCATATAGCCACAAATGGGGTATATTTAGAGAGGTTTGACTATATCTCAACCTACCAATGGTAAATCATTAATTCCCAACATGTAGCTAAACATCGTTCTTGTCCATAAATTGCTGATTTGGAGCGCCAATGCTGCTCGATAAGCGTCACTCTCTTTTACAAGAAACCTTACCTCATCATGGACTGATAGCATAAAACGCCCATCTATTTTATATTTTTTCAATAAATACTGCATAGAGACTAGAAGCAAATGAAGGTAATCAACCCCTGATGATTGTATGACCCAATTAACTCGTGATGTCATATAGTTTTCATCGACTACCTTTCTCTTCAATGCGTCAGTTATGCCACATTTAAGAACTGGTGTTCGAGGTGCCTCAGCAGTTGCAATCCCTTCAAGACTATTAAACATATAACTTTCACTACCACCGTACCAAAACGTCTTTCTAGGAAAATCATTAGCATTAATATTTTTAGTGAAGAATTTTTTGCCTTTAGTCTTGCTGTATAATTCGGTTACCCGTTCAATAGCTTCACTTTCTTCAATGTTTTCATTAAATTGTCTAAGTAATTGTGCGGAAAATTTAAGCCCCGCACCGTATATCCTACCATAATTAAATACCTTCGCATCTGACCGCGAAATTTTCAAAATCTTTGCTGTCCTCGAATGCAAATCCGTTCCGGCAGCCTTGTTTCCTTGAAGCATCATCCATCCCAAAGCAGTTGCGCCATGGAATCCAAATTGTGAATCACCAATCAAACTGGCAATCCATAATTCTTCAGAGTCGACGTCCGCACCAACAATCTTATATCCTTTTGGGGCTTGAATTTTCGTTTTAAGTTCGGAGCCGATACGATTCTCCTTTGCATTACTTGCTGTCATCCATGTTTTTTCCACAGCGCGACGAGTGATCGTTCCCATCGTTAAAGTCTGCGGTAAGATCATTCCAATACTCTTTCCATTATCTGATTGAAATCCCATATCTTGAATCTCTGGATGATCGTTATATACAACCATCTGACTTTTTATCCGTTCTCTAGAACCAATCCAATATGAACATGTCGCATTCATGTTTAATGCTGCTTTAGCTTCTTCATATTCAGAAGACAAAATCCCTTTTTCGAAAGCGGTTATATATTGCTTCGATAATGGTGTCGCACAGCGAGAATTCTCACCATCTTTATGTGGAATCCGGTAATATATTCCGTTCACATCATTAGCGTATTGCTCCTCATGGTCTTCAGCTACAGGCGCTTCCTCATTAACATCCATTTTATTTAGCTCTTCTTTAAACACATTATAATGTAATTCATTTGTGAGAGGTCCGTTAGAAAGTATTTTCTCATCTACGGGTTTATCAAACTTGCATGGATTTGCCTTTGTCCGGTACTCATCACTTTTAGGTACTCGATACATCCATCCGTATTTCTTGGAATAAAATAATGGGTAACCTTGCCACTTTAATCTTAATAAAAAAGGTGAAATCCTATTTCTTGGTGTAATTTTTAAACTTTCTGTCCTAGAATTATAAATATTTCGATACCAATTTGGGTATCCTTTAAGCTTTTTAGCACGTGGTGACGGTGTTGACCAATCTAATTGCTTTAACCATGGATTATCGATTATCGATTGCGGATCATCTCTCCACAACTTTACTGCTGCCAATGCAAGATCTTGTAAGCTTTTTTCAATTGATTTACTCTGTTCTTGATATACTGACTCCGCTTTCTCAATATAGTGATCCCAATCCTTTGATGTTGGCAGGAACATATTACCCATACAAATCATCCCGGCAAATGATACAGGATGGGGACAAACTTCTAAAAATCGTGGAAATACCTTTTTGAACACTGCATGCGTTGCGAGTACATCACTAGCACAATAAGATACCAGCTTTTGAAAAACTTCGGGCTTTACAATTTCTTCCAAAGAACCATTCACGAAATAATTTCTCATACATTTGTCTAATTCTCCTTGACAATGGAATTTGTATACATTTCTAAGATTGTTTATCGAACTAACATCATAAATAGCCTGAAAATCTTTGGAACTTTCCAAATAATCTTTATTATTTTCCTCAGTAGCTTTATTATACTTGATCCAGGTGGGACGCTGTTGAGTGCAGAGTCCACTTACTGCTATATGTAAAGACATGGTATCTATATAATTATTGCAAGATCTATCACGATGATATTCTTCTTTTATTCGCGCACGATCGAAACCAACATTATGTCCTACTATGATCCGGTCTTTACCTATATTCCCCATAGGAATCAAATAACCCACCTCACGTATTTTAGATTTGTATTTTTCATCTTGCTCTTGGCGTTTTAGTTTGTCCATTTCATCGTTGACAAGCTCACAGGTCTCTGTATGCTGCACTAACGAACTGTGAGCCGCGCTTCTGTGTTTAATAAGTCGTGGTGAAATCCAAGTATACCATGCTTTTGGTGAAGCAGCACATGCTATCAGTGCGTAATCACTATCATCGAGTAAAGTTTCTACGTCAAAACATAAGGCATCATCTTCAGGAAAATCTACCGCTTTGGGTTGCTTGCCTTTTTCATAACGTGTCCATCCAGCTATAAATTTCCATGCTTCCTCAGGCGGGATATCAGGAAGTTCCGAAATAGTGAAAGCTTTTGCTAACTCTTTACAAGAACGTGCCTGTTTTTCACCGATGTTCCAAAAATGTTCTGCTATCGTATTTCCACACAGTTTTGGTAGTTGAAAAGAAGTCAGAGGTAGAAAATTTTCCGTCTCTTTGCCCAACAGCCCTTGTTGCGTCAAATGATTTAACGCAATATTTACCCGTTTTTTTGATGGAACAATCCGATTACTACGTGGAAAAACTTGTTTATAAAGCCAATTCGGCAACATTTCTACACCAGAAAACGTGTGCAATTCGTGTCTTTAGCATGTATAACGCGTAACTTCCCCATAGGAGGAAATTAGTCTGATTGGCTAATTTTTGTGTATCATTTTAAATTACTTGTTTATATCGTAAAATCTGATTGGTCAATTCTGTAAATGACGAAATTAACAATTATATAAAAGCTTGTATAAATCCCAAAAAAAAGGTATAATATACACAAATAATACATGTATCTACGAATATCAATGATCGATTATTAATAAATTCCAGAAATATTATAAGAACTCAATGAATTTAGGCATTAAACTAAGTTTATACCTGTACTCTCTTAGACCTGAACGTTGTTCTAGAGTTAGGTCTCAAGTTTTTTATAGTTTTTATAATTTTTTATATTGTGTTTTTTTAAACTTTTTTTCTCTACTAAACTAGTTTCTTTGAGGTTTTTTGGTTAGTATTATAAAACATAATCAAAATCTTAATAAAGTCATCTTTATATTAGAAAGTATAATTAGTTATATGTATACTTTTGGTGTTTAATTTAAGTATATACCTACAGTTCTACACTAGTTGTTATATTTGCAATTCAATTATAGATACAGTCTACCCTCGTTTATATCAACCTATTTGGATTGGTTTTAAATTATGTTGATAGTAAATATTAATGAGAGATTATATTAAAGTTGATATATATGTCGCATCTGAAGTAGCGCCTGGCTAAAATTAAGCCCCTGAAATTAGATCGTCATGCATGCATTAGATTTTAATTTTAGCCAGGGTGCTATTTTAGATATATAAAGTGGCTACTTTAGATAAATCGTTACTTCAGATATGACATATATGAGGGAATTTTGATATATAAAAATTTATAAAAATTTGATTTGTGGCTTAGATTAATATTAACAGGGGTTGGCTGTATTGCTTAATTAAACTTTTTGTATTGTAATGCTTACTGTATTATTAAAATATTTTTGATATATATATTAGTTAAAAAGTTTTAAATATTTATTTGTACTTTTAAAATGTTTATTTTTTATTTTTTATTTTTTTATTTTTTTTTAAACCTTAAGCAGTTATGTTAATACTTTATTAAGATTCTTAAAACTATATATATATATAATTACATAGAATTTCCTAATATATAAGTTTAGCATCACTTGGTCATCCTAATAGTACCTAAGTGCAACTTGTTGTAATATTTCAGTTAGAAATAGACTGCTTGTTTAATTACTTAAAGTCATACTAGAAGGGTTTTTTCTTTTCTGTAACAAGCATATCAATTGTTTTTAATTTTTTTTCTTTATTTATTTTATTTTTTTTATCTTTTTTTCTTTTTTATTTTTTTTCAATATTTTATTTTTTATCTTCTTTTCTTTTAATTTTTCTTTTTTTCTATTATCTTTTTTCATTTTATTTGTTATATTGGAGTTTTTTTTTCTATTCTTGTATTTTTTTATATCGAACTTTCTTTACTTGGTTATAAAAGGTGTTCTATGCTGTTCTAGTTACTATATTTATATATTTCTGTATTGCATTTTTGTTTAACAACTGTTTGAGTTTTTTTTTAATTTTTAATATTGTGAGTTCTTTTTATTAGTATTTTTTTGTTTACAATTTCTTTTTTTTCTGGTTTTCTAAAGAGTGTCTTATATAGTACTTGTGATAAGATTCTTTTTCTTTAAATCCATTTTATACTATTGCTGCTGACACTTTTTGAATCTGTTTTTATAGATTTCTTTATTTGTTGCAGTTTATTATATATGTTTGGATTTCTATTTTACTGTTTTAACAAACTTGGCAGTCTGCTATTATATATATTTTTGGTCTTTTTCTGTTTAGTTCTTCTAATATCAGTAGACTGTTCATTATATACTTAATTGCTATAACTCTTCTTGTATTAAGTTTTTTTAATATTCAGCATACTTCATTTGTTTTGTTTATTTTTTTCCAAAAGCTTAACCAGTTATATAACATCTGTTTAGTTTCTGGTTTTAGTAATCTAATTGGATTTGTTTCTTGTCAACTAGTTCTAATTTTAATATTTACAATTATTTTACAAAAAAATTTTATTGATATATTAATTTTTTTGTTTTTTTATTCTATATAGTACTCTATTTTGTTGTACTTAATTTTTTTTGTATAGATTATTTTTTTGCTACTTGCTTCTTTCTTTGTGAGTAAATTTGCTCTATTATTCTACTTATCTTCACTATGACTTTTAACTTTAACTATTTCTATTTTAATGTTTTTATTTTTAATTAAATCTGCAATATTCATTATTTACATTATATTTTTCTTTTTAAGAATTCTTTTATCTTCTATACTTTGAATTGCTCTACTAATATTTCTTAATGCTATAATGCTATCTGTATATATTTCTATACTTTTCTTTTTTGATACTATTAAAATTACTGACTATATTGCTGCCAGTTCTGTTATTATTACTAAAGGTCATTCTTAAGTTTTAATACTATTTTCTCTTCTGGTTAGTTCTTTTTATCTTCTAGTTGTACTCAACCAATACTCATCTCTCCTATACTATTCTCTATATTCTTTTTATATAATGCTCTATCTGTATAGAATATATTTTTTTTTTGTTTTTTCTTTTATTTTTTGCTAAGATTTCTATTAAGTGATTTGTAATTTTATTGTTTAGCTCTTGTTTTCTAATTAACTCTATCTCTAATTCTTCTATTTGTTTTAGTTCTATTAGGTTTTTTTTATTTTTTTTTTAATCTTCTATTGTTTTATTATCTATTATTTATTTAAGTGTTATATTAATCTTGTTATTGCTTTTTTTAAATATTGTTTCTAGAATTACTTTTATATTATAATCATATCTTATTCATTTTTACATTTGTTAAATGTCTGTTCTGGCTTGTTTTTATAATCTCTGCATTTATTTATTTCTGTAATTGTTTTTCTTTCTTCTTTTTATATTAACCAATACTTTGCTAAAACCTTTTTTTTTTTAATTATTTTGCTAAGTCATTAGTTGTGCTTTGGCTATGTATAATTTATTCTTTTTTTCTTTAATCTTCTAACAATTTTGTCTATTTAATTTTTAATGTCTGTATATTATAGCTATTTGTTTTGTAGTTACTATAGATTTTTCTGTTTGTTTGTATTATTAACAATTTCTTTTCTATCTTACTAAACTATTTAGTCTTTTTTTTTTTATATGATAATTCTTGGTAACACTTGAGTTGTCTTTATATAATTAGATTATCACCTTTTGGATTTATAAGCTAGTTTAAATATAACAATTCCTATATATTTATTGTGCTATTACTTGTTGACTATGTTTTGGTTTCTATTATGTCTCTTATTTGTTTTCTATAACTATACACTTTCTATAAAATATCTTCTGTTTTAATAATTATATTTATCTCTTTTGTTTTAACTATTGTATAACAGCCCAAATTGTTTTTTTAATATTTCTTTTCTTCTAGTTTTCTTTTATAATTCCAATATTATTTGTTAATTCTGCATTCTGACATTCTTGTATTATTCTAAGTCTTGTTAGCTTACTCAAGCTATCTTTTTTGTTAAGTTGCAAAAAGAAACTACTTATTTGCTTTGTCATTATTTTTTGGCCTAATAATTTGCAATTGCCTAGATTTTTGTACTTTATTATATAATTGTTTGCTGTTTTTATTATATTATATTTGTGTTTGCTAGGCATATTAGTGATTGGTGTATCTTATTAATTATTCTTTTAACATCTTTGTTAGTTGTAGAAGATAATATAATTTTGTAATTATTACTATATTATTTATATATATGATCTGGCTCATTATTATTTTCTTGTATCTTAAATCTTTAACTATTTAACTATTTATTTTTTTTACTTTCTTGCAAATTAATAACTTTTTCATTCTACTGTTTAGCCAAATTTTTAATAATCTTACAATTTTGTTCTTTGGTTCTTCTATTATTTTACTTTGACCAAATATGATTTTTTTTTCTTCTATTTTACATCTAGTGTTCATTACTATTAGTTTTGATTTGGGCCTATTTATTTTGATATTATTGGCTTTAAAAAACTCTTTTGTGATTTAAGAATTTTTAATAATTGCTTCTTGCTATTTGCAATTTATGTTGTATTATCTGCATATATGATTGCTACCTATTTATATTTTAGTATGTTGTTGTTGCACATTTCTTTTGTTATTTCTGTTTAACTGTATAGCTTAGTGTTTTGTTTTTTTAAAATTCTTTTTAACAATAGGTTATAAAAAAAATGCCAAATTATAGATGAGATTATCTCTTCTTAGTTTATTCTGTTTCTTGCTATTATTTTTTCTGTTAAGCTATAGGCTGTGATAACTTTAAGTTATTATTTATTTATTTTTTTAATATTAAGGCAAGTAATTGCAACCCAGAAGTTTATTGATAATCAGTCGGCATATAACTATTGTGTACAACAGCTACAGAGACAATTATGAAAAGAGTATACAACTAGCCACTTGTACAACTTTAGTTATTGTCTATTTTAAATAGTCTGTCTGAAGGTTCTACACTAGTTGTTATACCTAGAACCCATCTGTGAGTTCTTTATTTAAACATTCTAGTTTCTGTATCCACCTCTAACCTATCAATTGCAGCCATTGCTGCAAATATACCATGGTCACTAAGTCATATTTAACTTTATACTAAGCCTACCAGAGCCTTCTATATCTCATACTTACAGCTGACCCAATACCACTCTGGCCTAGACCATCACTTGTAGTTAGAGCTAACCATTAAACCACTATACTCTTGTAAAGTTCATAAGAACTCTGATATCTTTCTTTCCTAACTTTTACCCTCTACTTCTGGACCTACAAGACCCACAAGACTTTACAAACTACCAATCCAGATGGCCCATTTGGCGAACCTGACAGCCTGGTTAGTATATGCTCCTCTATACATGTTGTCATCTGATTTATCTAAGGTCCTAGTAATCCTTTTTTGGAGTCTTCTGATGGTTTAGTAATACTGTTAAAAGTCTATACTGCCTCTTTAT